ACTGTTAAACTTTGTTATGAACTCATTTTCTTGTGTGCAGAATGAAAATTTTGATAATTTCATCGGTTCAAAAAGAATAGAACATTTGAAGAAAACCACTTGAGATAAAAAACCCACGACTTGCCCATTTCTGCATCTATGTATTATCTCGCTGTTTGTTGTTTGTGAGAACTTATCAAGTGTGAAGAATGATCATTTTGTGCATGACAGTATCTCGAAGTATCTTTAAGTAGATTAAAGAACGTTAAACAATGTTGAAATACGGTAAAATAGACGGAACTGAACGACGTATAAAGTATAATGCTTCCCTCTTCGCATTTATTCATGTTTGCCATTCGATTGTTATCCTCTATTCTTTTCTTTCATTATTTATTATGTTACTAAACTTATTGTTAGAGTTTCATTCATGCATGACTAATATTCCCTCACACAATCTCAACATCTAACATGTGGATTCGCATTTATTTGTGTTTCAAAAATGACACTAAATGATTCAAAAACTGATGAAGTGATATCGAAATGACTCTTTATTTTATATTGACTATTTGTAACTGTTTTCTTTGGAAAAAGAAAACGAGCTATTTCTTTATCATCTTCATCTTTTGCTAACCATCTATTACATGGAAATTCATATAAATGATGCCAATTAACATCTTCAATTAGTATTTGATCCAAAAACCAACCAGATGCTGAACCTTTATTATTATGTGCGATTAAGATTTTATTTAATTCACCAACATTTGGACATTCAATTGTAAATTCATCTTTTCTATTAACAAACAATAATTTTTCGATCAGAAAAAACAATTTCCAAATCTTACTTTCCAGATTCAAAACTATTCTTTTTACTTTCAAGCTTGATCGGACCTGTTTCAGCTAAATTACCATAAAGAGTAATAAATACATCAGCATCAGTTCCAGCGCCGGTCTTTTTTCCGGTAAAAACGGTTATTTTGTATTGATTATTTCTCACTGGTTGTCTCTCATGATCAGTTGACTTTTTTGGAAAAAGAAAACGAGCTATTTCTTTATCATCTTCATCTTTTGCTAACCATCTATTACATGGAAATTCATATAAATGATGAGCAATAACATCTTCAATTAGTATTTGATCCAAAAACCAACCAGGTGCTGAACCTTTATTATTATGTGCGATTAAGATTTTATTTAATTCACCAACATTTGGACATTCAATTGTAAATTCATCTTTTCTATTAAAAAACAAAAATTTTTCGATCAGAAAA